CGGGCCAAAATACACAATACTCCCAAATTGCTGTCATATGGAGTGCAAGTGCTGAAAAAAGGCCTTCATTTTTCCCTGTCTGTACTCCAAATAAACGTGTATTTGTTAAATAACTGGAGTTTTTTCCCTGCAGTGCAACCTTTCAGAGAGAGAGAGGGATGGGGTAATGTGCCATTTCCTTTGTTTGTTGAAAACTTGGCTGCAGGACTGTAATGGAGACTGGTTTGATCTCAGTAGAAGCCGCCGGTTGAACGTTGGACGCTGCTGGATTGTGAGTCTTGAGATGTCAAACTCATCTCCAGCAAGCTCCCATATGCAAACATTCATTTGGTTTCAGTTCTCTTTGTTTTACCCATTTTCTCAGCAGCAACTCCTGCAAAAGCTTCGAGTTTACCTGCAGAAATAAGGATTTAAACAAACATCTTGTAACAGGATGGAGCATATTGCTTCGATTACAGCTTATTCACCATTTAAGGCTAATATTTTTTTCTTAAATCACGGCCTTTGATTGCAGAAATGAACCTCGGTGCAAATCAGATCCAGCTACTTATCTTGAGGATCCAACAACATTCACATGGACTGTAGCAGCAGGAGTTCAAGAGAAACAAATTAAGATCTTGGTGTTGCGTTTAGGTGTCGCTCCACCCTTCAAATATTTCTTCAGGCTACCATTGAAAAACCTTCAGGTGGGCAAACATTGTATGACTGAAAGAAGTTAATTTCACTTGAACTACACATTACATTAAATAATCTGACTTGGAAAAATCTTTAGCATCGCTTACAGCCTTTTGTGGTAAAAAAAAAAAAAATCTAAAAGTGGTGTGAGCCAAAGGAGTTCAATTTCTTTTGGAATAAAGTAAAAGAACAACTAAAAACCTGTAATTGTGTCAGTGTGTAAATATGGTTTAAAACGATGCAAAGATGGAAAAGTTCATGCCCATCTGCATGAAAGCAACAACCCATCTTGTGTTTTAAATGTAGCATCGCTCTTTAGTGTTTTAAGACCAAACTTAGCTGAAAACTCATTTGTTTCACTGGCTTTAATTTTTAGATGAGCAGAATGTATTGTTTTTCTATTTGCTGATTGGTTTATTGAATTAAAATCATTCACTTTATATGGATTTCATTGACCTGCAAAGCTTCCTTATTTTATAAAGCACTTTCTTCAACATGGGTTGTTTTAAATGTGCTTTAAAAATAAACTCTGTGGTTGAAACAGGCTGAGCACATGAATCCATCCATTCTTCTGGGTGTCTTGTCAGTCATCTGCTTTCATGTTATTGCTTTTTTACTGACAGTTAACATAATATTCAGCATATCCCAGTATTTATTGTTAAACCCTTTTACACTAGTCATTTGTCAAAAAATAACAATTTAAGGGGATATTGGTCCCAATAATATTATCAATACTTTGCTTAATTTTGCCCCAGTAAGAAAATGATTTAGGACAGCTCCAAAAGATATGATCAGGGATCAATATAATGTCTTCAGTAGCACCAGGTGATCCATCCGCAGATATTATCGCTGATAGTCATGCTGCATTTAAGCCAAGTAACGGTGCAGATGCAGGAAAACAATCAAGTTCACAAACAGAATGAAATGAATTTTACTGGATAAAGTCAAACATACAATTTAACATGTTCTTAACCATCTGTTGACAAAATAACCACTTTATGAGCACTTACTTGCAGAAATGAGAATCATCTTGAGAACCAAAGCGGTCTCGCTAACATCACCCCAACACTTGGTGAAAATGACTTCAGTTTAACTGCATCTAGTTTGCATCAAAAGAAACTGGTTTAGAAACTGGTTTACTGTGCCGAAAAGCTCTGTGAGGTGCTGGCCGACATCTTTAACTCCTCACTTACCATGGTGACAGTTCCCACCTGCCTGAAGACTGCTACCGTCATCCCAGTCCCAGAGAGATCTACAGTGACTGGTCTGAATGACTACTGGCCAGTAGCCCTCACCCCAATAGTCGCTAAATGCTTCGAAAAACTGGTTATGACCCACATTAAAACAACCATCAACATCAACGAGGACCCTCACCAGTATGCATACTGTGAGAACCAATCAACAGAGGACGGCATCTCCTCTGTGGTCCACACTGCTCTCACCCACCTGGAGCAGAAGGACTCCTACATCCGTATGCTCTTTGTGGACTTCATGTCTGCCTTCAACACCATGATCCCCCAAACTCTGATGGACAAATTATTCACATTACAACTAAGCCCCTCCATTTGTAACTGGGTACTAGTCTTCTTAACAAACAGACCACAGTCAGTGAGGATCCACAACTTCTCCTTAACCCACAACTTCTCCTTAACCCACAACTTCTCCTTAACCCACAACTTCTCCTTAACCCTTAACTTCACCATAACCCTCAGCACTGGCTCCCTCAGGGCTGTGTGCTGAGCCCTCTCCTGTTTACTCTGCTCACGTATGACTGTGCAGCTACCCATCCAGGCTGTCACATTGTAAAGTTTGCAGATGAGACAGCAGTGGTGGGATGCATCACAAACAATGATGAGTCCAGCTACAGGCAGGAGGTGGAACACCTGGAGAGCTGGTGCAAAGAGAACAACCTTCACATCAATGTGAAGAAGATGAAGGAGATGGTCGTGGACTTCAAAAGGAGCAACACCTCACCCCACCCCCCGAACATAGGAGGATCTATGGTGGAAGTGGTCTCCAGCTACAAGTACTTGGGTGTACACCTGAATGACAACCTCAGCTGGAGCAACAACACCACCACCCTGATCAAGAAAGCTAATCAGAGACTCTACTTCCTCAGGTAGCTGGTCTGGTCTGGGAAACTCAGTCCTCTCCTCCTTCTACAGGTGTGCAGTGGAGAGCATCCTGTGCTCCAGCATCAACGTGTGGCATGGAGGCTGCACAGCTGCAGAAAGAAAAGCCTTGCAGAGAGTGGTGAAAGCTGCACAGAAGTCTGTTGGAATCAGTCTCCCCATCATCACAGACATTTACGCCTACAGATGCAGGAAGAGGACCACCTGCATCATGAAGGACCCCACTCACCCAGCACACACACTTTTTGCCCCACTCCCCTCAGGAAGGAGGTTAAGGAGCATTAAGTGTAGAACCACTAGACTGAGGAACAGCTTCTACCCTGAGGCTGTTAGACTCATGAATCTCTAACCAGAATAATCACTGTGAAAAATCACATCATATTGCTGCTGATCTGTTTCATGTTGCTGCTGATCTGTTTCATGTTGCTGTGTTCATGCATGCTCATCTGTTCACACAGACTCATGTTCGTGCTGCATATTGTTTTTGTACTACTAGTGCTTAGTGTATTTTTACTGACATTTTTCTTAGTTCATATCTTAGATCTCATTACTGTTTTTCTTTAACATTTTAATACTTTTGTTGGATGTAACTGAGACCCTGTTTACATAATGTCATTCCACCATATGTGGTGGAATGACAAATAAAGAACCTTGAATCCTTTAAAGCAGACAGAAAGTGTCCTGAACAGGTTCAGAGGCAGGGGAGGTCAAATTCACTGTTCTCCTTCAAGGTCCTCCTGCTTCAGGATCAGTCCACTTCCACCGAGAGGAAACGACAAAGTGTTGGACCAAACAGTCTGAAACAGCATAGCTCTGCATCTATGGTGCTTTTAGGTGCTTCATAGCAAATAAAGTGTCATTGACTTCATAGAAAACTTTACTTGCATGAATTTAATTTCCTCTCCAAGTGTTTGCAGTAAAAACCCTTTAGTTTCAGAGAAATCTTGAAAACACAATATTGTTTCCAGCATATGCATCTGAATTTTGATTTGCCGTGTGGAAGCACAGCTTTATGGAGTTTATTATTTATTAACATCAACCTGCACACAAAATTGGTTTTAAAATAAGTCAATTTTTACATTCCATCTAAAAATCATGTTTAAATTCTACTTAAATACTAAAAAGAAATTTTAAAAACTACTGTTTTAATCATTTGACACAAGATTTTCTCTATATGAATATAACTCTGTTCTTTCTATGACATTGGTTGTTTGTTAGACTTGTTTATTTTAAAATATTAAAAACTAATAAATCACAGTTCGTTTGTTTTTTTCTATTTTTTATTCAACAATCTTTGCACATATTTTCCTTCACTTTTGGATATAAACAAACATAGATTCACTCACAAACGTTAAGAATATTTGCTTTATTTCCATAGAGATAATAAATGTGTGGAAACAGTCATATGCATTTTTGTTTCAAATATAAAAAAATAAATATATTCTGTCCATTCCTTGTCTTTCTCATGAGGACACACACATCTGCTACAGGAAAGGAGTTTATCTGAGTTCACACTAAACCCTGAATTAAACATTTCATGAAATCAGAAGGTGACATTTTGTGTTCCTGAGTTTAAATGTTAGAAATGAATAATATTTGCATAATGACCGCCTGCTTAGGATGACAGCAGCTCTTTTCTAAATGTAACTGATCAGGGAGGAGGCCAAGTGGAAGATCTGCCTGTTGGTAAAACTGATGAAGTTCTGGCTCAAAGGCAACATGAATCTATTTTCCACAACTTCTTGATCAGGAATCTCCGATGAGTTGTTGTTTTACAAAAGATTACTTTCAGTTTTCCTTTTGCCTGACAAGAGTTCAGACTTGAGTTGTTGGTCTGATAAAAGGTTTGTTCAGTCATCGATCTGCAGTTGCTGCTCGGCTGAGGTTAAAGTTTCTGCAGCTCTGAGACGAAGAGAAAACACCTGAAGTCTGATTTCAGAAAGACTGAAGACTTTTCAAGAAACAAAAGTACGGTGGCCCTGAAGCACAAAACACTGTGACATGTCAAATAACACAGCAATGACAGAAAACAGAAAATGATGTTTCATATTTTACAAAAAAAAAAAAATCACAAATATTTTCTAATCAGATCCCAAGTTTTAAATCCTTGATGTTGTCTCTGATGTTCCTCACTCCAGTGTGAGTTTTTATGATGAAACAGGTGATTGCAGTGATTTGAACCCACGTTGCAACATGACACCAGTAAGCATGGAACAAGAAATGTCCCTTATTTTCTCAAACTCAAATCACCTCTGCAATCAAGATCCTGACTAAAACAAACAGGTGGAGAGAAAAACATCCACAATTTCTTTTGAATTTGTGGTTTTCAAGAGCAAATCAATTGTACGGCCATTTTTAACGCGTTCAAATAAAATTTATGAAACAAAACTTTGCTTTCGTCTTCACTTTATTTGATTTCTGTTCACACAAATCCTTCTGTTGAAAAGAGGACGAAGGATCGAACTCAGGAGAGTTTGAATTCTTTAGAATATGTTTTTCGTCTCAAAGTGCATTTTTAAGGCTTTGGTTTTTTAGAAAATAAACACGTTACTAAAATAAAGTCCACACAAATATTTCTTGCTCCTCAGTGAAACACAATGTAAGTGCTGAGGAGACGACAGGCCAACAGAAATCTGAGCTCATGCACGAGCTGAAACCACCAATTTACTGATTACTGATTTTTTTTATGCAAATTTTCTTTTTTATTGTTGTAACTGTTGAACATGAAGGTGTTTTGCATTTCCGGACCACTTTATTTATGGATACATTACTCAGATTTAGGAAGCAACAAAAAAACATCAAGCTGCAGCTTTTCAGCTTTGGATGAAGGAATTAAAGAACTTATGCCGACGTATGAAAAAATGTCCCAACCATGTCTTGTGTTCTTCTTTTGTTTTAATACAGGAGACTCTGATCTTCTCATTATGTTGATGATTAATGAAAACATAAATGTGGGAAGTTTAAAGTCAGGCCAGCAGCCTGAAGAGGAAGAAGCACCCTCCTTTTGTTCTGAGGCACCTCCTGATTTGCATCTTTGTGGTGATTGATGCAAAGGATAAGGAGCTCAAACGCTCCTCGAAGCTCTCAGAACCAAAAAGGACAAACGACTCTGACTCTTAAGGACTCCACTCGTCAGTACCTGATGCAACTCTCTGAGCTGCACTTCAGGAATAAAAACATTAAAGTGCTGCAGTTTTCAAAAAAGGACAAATGTGAAAATTATATAATTGATTCTGCACCAATTCCGATTTATAAAGATCGTTTAAATAAAATAAAAGCATCTATATGTGGGCTGACAAACTGTTGGACTCACAACATTTAGATGCATTAATTCTGCATTGATTATTGACCCATTTTGACTTTTCAGCTGCCATAAGTGTCTGTTTTATTTCCAGGATGTGAACCTGCTTCATTAATTTAACAAACGCACAAAAAGAAGCTTTAATCTGAAGCAAAGCTGCAGAATCATTAAAAGCACAGGCGGGGGAAACCTATAAACTTTAAATTTTTAGAAAATACATGATCACTCAGACAAAAGAAGTTCTTTAAAATAAATACCTCATGTTTGCTTCCATACATTGAAGCGGAAAAGCTCCAACTCAGGGAGTGTTTTTGTTTTGAATCCGTCTCTAAACTTGAATTTTCCTGATGAAGAGGAGGGTGAAGGCTCACCAGCATCACATCCTGTCTGACCTGAGTGGATGTAAACTCCCAGTCGAGGCAGGGACTCGGAGCAGAGAAGGGGGAGGACAGCGCGTAAAGGAGGACTCTTTGGACTCTTGATGCTCCGGATAAACTTTGAACGATGCTGCTTTTCGGAGCCTCTCTGCGTCTGAAGTATCTGTTCCTACAGACCACCTCGTCTCATTTCACTGCTTCCAATGTTTATATCCTAGCTGGTAATTAACATAATCTTGCGTTCGTGTTAATTTCCAATCGTGAAGGACAACACGGAGTCCAAACGCAGTTTTTTGGCACTTGGTGAATGCAGCTGTAATCACCCGGGGGAGCCTTGGAGTGCCTAAATGGGTCCATCACGATGAGGAGACAATCAGGCTCCTTTCTGTGAAGATCAGCAGCAGTTTCTGCACATTGTCTCTCATGAATAGACCGATCTCCAATTGAGCCTCTTCACTTTGGAGATTTTTTTTTTTTTTTTTTCGATTTTCGATTATGTGGCTTTTGAAATTAGAATGCGCCGCTCCTTTCTCCGTGAGCTTGGTGGCACGGCTGCGTGCACTTTGATTGACAGGTGAAATTGACACTCTGGCTGCCTCTTATCACGCAGAGCGTTTCAATCCGCCGCTAATTGCAGATATAGTGCCACCCTTTTCTTGTGATTGCAACATCCAGCCTTCCGTTGCGCACAAAAGCAACCATCGATCCTGTGTAGTGTTTTTTTTTTTTCTTCTTCTTCTTCTTCTAATTGCATCAAAATTTCTTTTGTTGCCAGGGTTTAAATGCAGGAGGAACCGTAATAAGTCGGTGTTTTGGACTGGATGTGGTTTGGGTTGCGGCAGGGATGCGTAACGCGCAGCGCAGACTGGAGCTCCTCTCGGAGTGAAGCGTTCAGCGCCGGAACATGGTGAGTCACCAACATCTGGACCTTCAGGGTCCAAGTCTTTTCTCTGTCCTTCTGCTCATTTAATTTTTTATTAAAGCATCAGGTGAAGCTTTTTAATAAGGACGGATGGAGCAAAAACAGAAGATGCTTCTGGAGAATCGCAGTTTTAAGTTTTCTTTTCATAAAAATAAAAGGTTTATGTTCAGATCAATTGATTTTCCTTAAAAAAATATATATATATATATATATATATATATATCACATCTGAAGCCACATTTTTCTTGAAGCCTTATGAGAGGGATTGAAAATCGGTGCGTGTGTGTGTGTTAAGCAGTCCGAGCCGGAGGTGAAGAAGGAGTCGGAGGAGTCCAGCCCGGCGGAGGCCTCCTGTCTCTGCTCTCCTCCTGCCAAGAACCAGTGCGCGAGCTGCGGGACGGAGATCCACGACCGGTACCTGCTGAAGGTCGGAACAGCTTCTTATTTATTAGATTTTAAATCCTCTCCAGGATGAGTTCATTTATTTCTAATTATTTGTCTGCACGTCTCTAAACTTTTGAAACTCGCTCTGGAGGATTTAACGGATTTCTCCTTCTCGGATTGGACCGTGCGTGTTCATCAGCTGGTGATGTGTGTGTGTGTGTGTGTGCGTGTGTGTGTGTAGTTGATTTGATTTGTGTGTTTTCTGATGGCAGGTGAACAACCTGAACTGGCACGTGGGCTGTTTGGCGTGCTCAGTCTGCAGGGCCTCTCTGCGCCAACACTCCAGCTGCTACGTCAAAAACAAAGAGATTTACTGCAAACTGGATTATTTCAGGTAAGAACTGAGATTATATTTATTAAATGAATTCAGGCAGCAGATTATTGTTGTTATTTTTTAGTTTAAATATTTTAGTTTAAATATTTTTGTTCATTTTACAGAATTGCGACAGGACGATAAAAAGAGCTGTAATTTTTTTAAATATAATTTAAAGAGACGCAAACACAGCTTGTTTGTAAATTATTAGTTTTTTAATATTTAATTTGACTGCTTTAAACATTTAAAATTGTTGCCTTGTTTGTTTTAAACATCTGTAAAGCACTTTGTGTCACCTTGAGTTTAAAAAGGTGCAAATTATGAACGATTCATTATTTGAACGTATAAAGTTATTTAAAATATCTAATTACACATTTATTCCATAATGTTAATCAAAATGGTTTTTTTTTCCAAATTGAAAATTTGAGTTTTTCATTTTAAATTAACAAATATTTAAATAATCTATTTGATGTTTTATCAGCATATTTAAAAAGAGGCCCATTTAAATAAAACACTTAAAAATAAATTAAAGTAGACTAAAACAAAACTGTTTCTGTATATTTCTGTGCTCTAAACCGATTTTTAAAATGTCTATTTTTTTCTGATCTGTTTGGTATTTTTATTTCAAATTTAAAACTGTTTTTGAAGTTTTGTAGAAAATCATATTATTTTAAAGCTGCTGTATTCTTTGTTCAAATCAGGCTATGAGTCCTCGACACTCGGTGGGATTAACCTGTCTAAATAAAGGTTGAATGAATGTATTTACTTTTAAATCTAAGCTTTATTGTGTCAGTTAAAACAATAAAAATACATTTTAAATGACTAAAAAAAATTATTTTAATTTTATTTTGATAAAATAACTGTTTCAATGACGCTTTCCACATGTGATAAATCACTGGACCACAGCTGGATCATTTTTCAGACAACTAATTGATCTTTGATCGGATTTGAACACCACTTTGAATCATTTTAAAACCATCAGCTGTTTTGAATCTGCTCATGTTGATCAAACTTAATGAGCTGAACAGTTTCTCAGCTGAAACTTTTCTGCCTTTTGTTAGTTTTGGTCATTCCTCAGAGAATTAGTCGCTGTAATTGGGAATATTTGATAATTTTGTGGCTCTATAGCTCTAAAAGACCCTCATTGTTTTTGTTTACCTTCGTGTGTTTTCTGACAAACCAAACTGACACACAGGAGCCAAAAGCAGCTCACTTTGTTTCTGCTGGATTACAGGAATGGCTGCTTTTCATTTTTAAAGTCTCAGTTTCATTTCCAGCCTCAAATCTGCACAGATTTAATTTTCTTTCTGCATAAAAACAGAAAACAAATTCTCATTTTATTGCTAAGTTGGATTTTTTTTAGGCTACAAAACTTTGGATGTATTTCTGAAGCTCAAGCAGCAAAGACAAAGCAACAATTAATGTGTTTCAGAAGAAAATGTCTCACTGAGTCCTCGTCCCTCACAGTAGGTTTGGGACTAAATGTGCCCAGTGTGGCCGGCAGGTGTACGCCAGCGACTGGGTGCGGCGGGCTCGGGGCAGCGTGTACCACCTGGCCTGCTTCGCCTGCTACTCCTGCAAGAGGCAGCTGTCGACCGGGGAGGAGTTCGGCCTGGTGGAGGGCAGGGTGCTGTGCCGGAGCCACTACAACATCATGCTGGACAACCTGCGCAGGGCTGCAGAGAACGGTAACACAAACACTGAGGGGAGAGCTTTAATGGTGACAAATCCACCCTCTAAGGAGGAATCATGGCTTATTACAGCCCTGGTCATACAGTCCCAGCAACATATGATACATAATGCATAACGAACACATTGTATTTTACTGTTTCCTATTCATTTACTGTGTAAGCACCTTTGGTTAGAGGCTTTCTGCAGCCTAATGTATGTACAACAGCAGAAAGGTTGAATCTAATCTGAATCTGAATCTGAACGAGAAGTTTAATTTTCTACTGACAGATTTATTAAGATGTGAATAAAACCAAAGGACCATGATGCACACTGTCTGATGTTTCATAAAAATAAAAGGAAGAAAAAGAAATTCAGACAGTGAGCCTTAAAACCATCCATCCATTATCTTTTACCCGCTTCTTCCATTTTGGGTCACGGGGGTCGCTGGTGTCCATGACCAGCAATCACTGTGCGAGGGGCGGGGTACACCCTGGACGGGTCGCAAGTTCATCACAGGGACGCCTTAAAACCTGTAAAAACAACAAATGGAAAAATAAGCCAGAGCCTTCTGTGTCACTCGCAGGAAACACACGTTGACATGGATGTTTGAGCCTTTTGCTTTGATTTTCTGAAACACCTTTTAACTAATTTATGACATTGAAATGACAAATTACGAGTTTTTTGAGTACTTATGCAATATGTTTGGTCATGTATCTTGTGAGTTTGAGCCTTAGAAAAAAAAGTATTTTAAATTACCACGTTTCAATGTGCAACTTCAGATTTTTTTTTTTAGAATAAATATCTGCAAAATATATATTTTGCACCCTGCAGATGTTGGATGCTGTCTATCATGGTGCACTAAGATTCATAACTGGCTGTGATTATCGTACCCACCACTGCACCATGTATTCACTGGTTAACTGGACATCATTAACTTCACACAGACTCTCACTGGTACATTTTCATCTTTAAATCACTTCTTGGTTTGTTGCCTTCATACATCTCCTCCTACATGTCTCTGCGTGAGTGCAGCTACAGCGTGCGCTCTCAGGACATTATTACCTGCAGTGTTCCATCCTGGACTGAACTAGACAAAAGAGCCTTCTCCTACTCCACTCCTGTTTCCTGGAATATCTTGCAGAAAGATTTGAAGCCCTCGACCTTGATCTCTCTAAGTGGCTTCAAACATCTGCTGAGCTCATCGCCAAAAACCAGTGCAGACACGTTCCTGTTTTTAGTTTAACACATCGCCTTACAACCTAGCTGTTTTATTGTTACATTTTATTTTAATTATCATTTTATTTTCACTTGTTAATTTTTTTTATTTTTTATTGTATGCATCCTTTATGATTGTTTATTGTTGTCGTTGTTGTGCCATTGTTGTCATCACTCTTTGTTAAATCAGGTCTCTCTTGTAAATGAGTCCCCGAGGCTCAATGGGATTAACCTGTAAAAATTAAGGTTGAATCTGGTTTGCTCTTTATGAGCTTCTGCCTCTCATTACCTGAAATATTCCACTGAAAAGAAAATGTTTAT